AACATTAGCTTCTCAACAAGCTCATTATCAAAGAATTTACCTATATAACTTCGCCAACAATTATTATAAAGGACTCTGAGATTTTCAATAAATCATTTATCAAGATGCTTCAAAATTAGCTCAGTATTAACGACTTTTGGATTGAATGCCCTATGATGTGGTATAGCTAATGTATAACACAGATTTGTTGCGATTGTTGCCATATGTGTAGCCCAAAAAGTACTAGTAGTATCAGATTGCCTTGGAGTATGAATATTGTAATAATTATTAATATTCAATACAAATGCATTTTCTGTACAATTTCTAGAGCTTTCTTGACATATTTCCCATGAGCCTTTGAAATTTGTTGTTTTTTACAGTCTACCGATCTCGCTGTTGTAGTTATACCGATATTAGCCAATGTATTTAAACCTTCATTACTTGTACCTACTGAATCTAAATAGTACACTAAATCAAACTTAAATGAATTAATTTTGGAATTATTTAATGATGCGAGAAGATAATATAAAAAAACTATTAATCGTTTCATACACCCCATTGTTTTCTTGCAACATTCAAATAGCTATGCTAACAAATAAAGTTGGTCAAAAAAATTTTTCAAGCTTGGATCAATTTGTAGAAATAATTTCTGTATTTTATCAAATGAATATATAGGACTTTCTTTTTGTATATGTTCTCTTTCATAAAAAATTCGTGCCATAGACCTAATAATTTTAAGGATGGGGTATTTGTTTACTATTTGTTTGCACATGGCATGAAAATAAACCAATCAAAATTTACTGATCTGCAAAATTAACCAATTATAATTGTATATTTGGTTATACATACATATTTATTTGCATATTGCATAAAAAAAATATGTAAACAAATACCCTACCCTTAATAAGGTTAATTATATTTACCTCCTCATCTACGGCATCAATATCCTCTTTTATTATAGTTTTTATATTTCCTACTTCTGAATTTTTACTAATTTTAGCTTCTATTTCTTGTCTAATTATATCTTCTATATTTACTTCCATTATATCATTATCTTCTTCAACTAAATATTCTTCAACTACATCAGCTTTAACTAAATCTACGTCAGATCTAGCTACATCTAAATTAGATTCAACTACATCTACTTTTTCAACTACATCTACTTCTTCAACTACATCTTCTGCTTCAACTACATTTTTTACTTCAACTGCATCTTTTAAATCTTCAACTACATCGGCTTCAACTATATCTATATCGGCTTCAGCTACATCTATATTAAATTTAACTACATCTCTTTTTATATCAGCTCCAACTTCTTCAACCAAAACTTTTGTATATTTGACTTTTTTTAATTGATTCTCTACGGAATTCATATAACAATTATGATATAAGTAATTATCTTTTTCCAAGTAGCCTATATTAACCTGCTAGCTTTGGCTTCTTCCCATTTTTCCTGTTAACAAACAAAATTTGTGCAATTTAGTAGTTCTGCATTCTATATATTTTTATGTTGAGGTATATTTTTGCTAAGTAAATTACAATATAAGATCAACTGAATCCTTTTGAATCCCCTGATATTGTTAAAGTACAGTGCGAAAGCTTCAAGTATATTTAGTCATTCAGTCATGTTTCAAGAAAAGATAAATTACCTGAAGCCCCTAAAAAAGTATTGTAAAACGTATAAAAAATTTTCTTTCTAAAAATCGCAAATTTGATTAGCCTGGGCTTTTTAATAGAATTATTGTAAAAAAAAATCATGTAACATTCGGGTGACTCAGATAATTATTTTCTAATTTGGGATGGTCTCCCCTGAAGGGTCAAGGCTGATTTCCTAGAATTTCACAAAGTGCAAAAAAATACTGATGATTTTTCACGATTTCTTCTATTTCTTTGCTTCTTCTGTTTCTTCTACTCAAGTCTCTTAAGAGACTGAGTGTTTTTTGTAGTCCTCTTCCTTTTTTCTTAGAGCTTTGAGATAGACTTCTTAGTAACTTTTGTGTGTTTTCAGTGGTTTGTTGTTAATTATTGTTTACTGAATACAGAAGGTACAGTTAATGATAATTTAAATGCTGCTGAAGTAGCAATTGACGATGCAATATCAATAGATAACT